TTAAACTTTTATTTAAACTGTAATATGATTCGTGTCTTTTTAAAAAAATAATTAATTTTTTATTTGAATATTTTAGTTAAAATAATGTTATTTTTAGATGAGTTTTTACGTTATTTTAACAATTTTACCTATTTAGATATTTAGCTTGTCAACACAGACAGACAAACAGACAGACAGACAGACAGACAGACACATTAAATTTAGAAAATAACTTTTTTGTAAATAATCTAAAAAGTAATATGTTAAGTGTAATATAGAAAATATATACATTATATATTTTATATCTATACCGTATATCTTAGAAGAAAAAAGTTTAATAGTAATAACAGTAGATTGCTTTTAATAACATTTTTTTCTGTTTTAAAATAAAATATTTAAGTGAATTTTATTTTTTATTTTTTTTTTAAAAAAAACAACAACAAAAATGATTAATATATTTAAGAAAATGTATTCATTTATTATAAAAATAATTATTAAAATCATAACCAGTAAACATAAACTAAATTTTTTTTGTTTAATTGGTTTTAGTTGTCAACTGTTTTCAATAAGCTATTTATATTTAAAATATGATTATGTTACTACTATATTTACTGAGCCCTTAAATACAATACAATTGCCAACATTTACGGTTTGTTTTGATAAAATGCTATTTTTAAAATATGATTTAATTTCAACAAAACAATCATCATCATCATATGATTATTTAATTGGAAAAAATTTTATTAACAATCAAACTATTAATAAACAATTTGAATTAATTGAAAAAATTGAAAATTGGTTTAATTGTTTCTATTATGCTAATGATAAAAATTTTCAATGTAACAATTATAGTCTATCAATTGATTATAATCATATATGTGTAACTGTATTCTATAATTATTCAAAACTAATTAAAATTGAAAAAACTTCAAACTATTTTATTTATTTATTAATTAAAAAGCCTATAAATATAATTGAAAAATTTAAATCGACTATACGTCTACATTCAACTAGTTTAACAGTGCCGCTAGTAAATTATGATGATAGTTTTTACTATTTAGATAATGAATTAGTTAATGAAATTTATTTTGTACGCTATACTATCAATAATAATTTAAATGAATGTAAAAATTTTAATTTAAAACAAAAACAATCAATGGATATAAATAAATATGATTGCTATTGTAAATGTTTATCAGATTTTATTAGCGATACATTTCAACAATGTTCCCAGTTTATATTTGTGTAGAAATATTTCTAATGATAAAACATTTTTTATAGATTATGATAGATATAATTTTAATCATACGAAAAATATTTGTCTAAATAAATGTCAAAATAAATTAGATTGTTATAATAAATTTTACATAATTTATTTGTTTAAAAATTTTAATAAAAATTTTAAAAACAATAGCTTAAAAATATTTATTAAACCATTAACATCAGTATTTTTTATCCATGAACATAATATAAAATTATTATTCGATGAATATTTATGTTTAATCGGCAGTGTTTGTGGCCTATGGTTTGGTTTATCTATTTATCAATGTTTTTCAAAAATTAGAGATTATTTAAATTTTAACATGCTAAATATATTTTTCAACAATATATTTAATATTAATAATAATCAACAAAACGTGATTGTTGTTTATAATAATAATAATAACAATAATAATAACAATAATAATAATAATAATAATAATAATAATWATAATAATAATAATAATAATAATAATAATAATAATAATAATAATAATAATAATAATAATAATAATAATAATAATAATAATATTCATATAATTCAAGGACCGAATAATAATATTGGTAGAATTGAATAAACTATTATATAATAATAAGTATTAATATATATATATTTATATATAACGTAATAATGTAATATATATATATATATAATTATGTATTTATGTAATATATATTACAATCAAGAAACTAGATATCAGTTTTTAGGCTAATAAGCGGTTCAATTAATATTATAATATCATTGATAACCTATGGCTGGGCATCGGGTTATTTCCTGGACTATTACGGCCAGTCCTATACGGTTCAATCACTCGTACCCTATTGTCAATGTGTTGGGCATACATGTTGTTTGCCAGTGCCGTAGTCAGCGGCCAACAACTGGCCAATCGTTGTCTACTCGATTGTCCATCACTTGGACCTAATTAGTCGGCTATCGTTTCAGGTCTATCTCTATCACATACAGTAGTGTTGTATTTATTTTTTTTTCATTTAATACAAATCAATTAATTTATTATACGATCATAAATGTTGTAATATATTATTAATAAAAACTTTTAGTTAAAAATATTTAGTTTATTAATAAATAATTAATTTTATTTAATTAATTATTAAATAAATAATTTTATTTAATTAATTATTAATTAAATATATTTTTAATTAAACAATACAATAAATTTTTTATTATAATAATACTGTATATATATATATATATTGTTTTAAAATTAAATAAATACTGTACTAATTGTTAAATATTACTAATTTGTATAATTTTGTGTATTTAATAGTTAAAATTATCTGTATATTATTAAAACAAAACAAAAAAATAAAAAAAAATAATCATAAAACTTTAAAAATTAGAATATTTATTTCTAATAATAATAAAAAATACATTTAATTTATTTTTAAAAATTATTAATATTTTAAATAAGTTTATAATAAATAATTAATTACAAAAAACATTATGAATTAAATATATTTTTGTTATAAACTAATTTTTTATTATAATATTATATTTTTTTGTTTTAAAATTAAATAAATACTGTACTAATTGTTAAATATTACTACTTTGTAATTTTTTTGTGTTTATAAAAGTTAAAATTATCTGTATATTATTAAAACAAACTAAAAAATATTAAAAATACTAATTATAAAACTGATTTAAATTTGATTATTTATTTATATTATTAATTAATTAATTTATTGATAATTAATTATAAAAATGATAAAAATACATTTAATTTATTTTTAAAAATTATTAGTATTTTAAATGTTTTAATTTTATATATTTTATATAAAAATAATCATCCAAATATAATTAATGGCATTTATATGGAGTACCAGGTTCATATGTTAGACAATGATAATTACCGCAACAATTATCATTATTCGGATCGCATGATTCAAACTGATCTATACAATCTAGTTTCAAAATTAATTAAATTTTTAAAAAAAAATAAAATAAAATAATTTAAAAAAATAAAATAAATAAACTTTAGTAATTTTTTTTTAAATACCATTATCAGCTTGAATTGGATTTGTAAATAGACCAAGCACAATTAGCAACATAAATAGTTGAATTAGTTTATTAAATTGTTGTTTGATAATTGTTTTCATTTTATTTTTTTATTAATTAATTTTTATAATTATTAACAATTATTTAATAAAATATTTTTTAATAATTTTTTATAACAATATTTGCACTCCTTATATACTTTTTTTTATATAAAAAAATGCAACTTTATTCATTATTATATTTATAATAAATAATAAATTAAAATTATTAATTATTATCATAATGAATAAAAAAAATTCTATGATTGACAATAATTAATATATATATATATATATATATTAATTTATTAGATTTTATTATAAATTAGTACAATTAACTTTAACAAAATATTTTTATTACAAAATTAATTAATCTTTTATTATAAATGTTTTTTTATTTTGTAATTTCATAAATAGCTAATAAATAATAATAAAGTTCAATAATTTAATTAATTTATATATATATTTATAGTATTACTAATAATTAATATTAATATATATATATATATATATTAATTATTTTATTTTAATAGTAAATTTTACTATTGACTTATTAAGAGGACAGTTAGTTACATAATCATACTGTCCATCAATTGAATTATCCGACTATAATATGTAATTAAACTGTTAATTAATTATTTTTTTGTTTTAGTTACATAATATTTTACATAAAAATTATAATCTATAAATTAAAATGATTAAACAAATTAAGTTAACATAATATTTTTATTCATAATTATATTAAAATAATAAAATATTTAAAAAAAATTATAATAAATAGATTTTAAAAAATATATTTAACACTATTATTGATTTTTTAAAAAAATAAAATATATAATTATTATAATATTATTATTTTTACAACAACAAAAAATTTGAGTTAAATATATGTAAAATATTAAACAACAAAATATTATTATAAATATTTATTAACAAAAATTGTTGTTTTTTAAAAATAAAAATATAATGCATTGTAATTGAATGTCATTGAAAAAATAACAAAAACAAAATATTTTTTATCAAAATAATAATAAACAACTTTAAATTTTAGTTTATAACTAATATTTTTTTTGACTATTTAATACTTTAATATTTATTAACTAGATCAATCTAATTATTAAACAAACTAAATCTAGATCATTAAATTTATCATTATTTATTTTCTTTATATAAACTTTAATTTATCTATTATTTAATTAATATTATTATTATAGTAAAAATAAATAAAATTAAGATATTTAATATATAACTATTTAAACAAACCAATAGATAAACTAATATATACTCTATATTGTTATACTGTATTTAGAAATATATAAATAAAAATATATTATTTAATAATAATTATAAAATTTTTGTTAATAAGTTTTATCTAATAAAAACATAAATATTTGTTTGTTTTTATTTATTTCTATAATAATCTTATATAATAGATATATAAAATAAAATTTTTTTTTATAGATAATTATATTTTTAAAAATTAATTTTATTTTTTATAATTAATTCACTTAATTATTTAAATGTAGAAAATAATTAATTAAAAATAAAATATTTATATTAATTTAATATACTTTACTTAATACTACACATATAACTAAACATGTAATATATATTTTTTATATTTTAGTATTTTCATAATTTTTATAAATAATTAACTAATAAATAAACATTTTATTCAAATAACAAAATAAACACAATTTTTTTTGTTGATTAATATAATTCAGTCAATAGTTTCTTAAAAAAATATTAATATTTTTTTTAGATATTATCGTTAGGTTCGGTAGTCGTTTCAATAGGTATTTCCTCAGTAGTAGTAGTGATGACTACTGGTGTAGTTGGTGTGTCTGTACCATCACTACTGGTGCTACCGGTGCTGGTAGTGGTGATAGTTATCGGCTCAGTTGTCTGCACAGAGGATGGTTGGGTTGAATTAATAGTCGTACCATTGATGGTACTACCAGTTGGTACTGGTGTTACCACCGATGATGATTGGGTTGAATTAGTGGTACCATTGATGGTACTACCAGTTGGTACGGGTGTTACCACCGATGATGATTGGGTTGAATTAGTCGGCACAGGTGTCAAACTGGTAGGTCCTTCAAAACAATAGAGTATAGAAATGTTAGTTAATTTTTTGTTGGTTTAGTATATTATTAGATTGAGATTACTTTCAGTCCAATCGTAGTCCCATATGGACTGTCCATCAGTAGCACAGTTAGCCACCAAACGGTGCTGATATTGACGTCTATTTTTCAATAGCCACTGAAATCGGGACCGATTTTGTGGACTACAACCTAACGGGTTAGCCATCAATGACAGTACATTCGAGCGGTTTCTGTCCAAAAATTTTTTGAACAATTTTTCCCGTATTTCCCGAAAATTATTGTTATCTAAAAATATTTTTTTAAATATATAAATAATAGCTAATAATTGGTTTTTAATTAATTAAATAAGTTTAAAAAAATAAATAATTTTATATATAAATAATAGCTAAAAATTAGTTTATAATTAATTAAATAAGTTTTTTTTAAAAAAAAATACTTATAAAAAAGTTATTTATTATTAAACATATTTTATTTATTTTTTAATTAATTAATTTATTTATTTATTTCGATTATTACTAAATATATTTATATTATTTATTTTAATTAATTAAAGTAAAAATAAATTATGTTTTTTCAATTCAATACTAATTATCATAATTTTAGTATTAGTTTTACAAAAACAAATAATTTATTTAATAAATAATTATTTATTTATTCTAAATTAATTTATTGTTTGGATTATTATTAAATTATTTATATTATATTTTTTAATTAATTTATAATATAAAAATAAATTTCGTAATAATCCAAACAATTAATTAATTAAAAATAAATAAATAAATAAAGTTTTTTTCAATTCAATACTAATTATCATAATTTTAGTATTAGTTTTTCAAATAATTTATTTAATTTAAATTAATTTATTGTTTAGATTATTATTAAATTTATTTATATTATTTTTTTAATTAAGTTATAATTCAAAAATAAATTTCGTAATAATCCAAACAATTAATTAAAAATAAATAAATTAATAAAGTTTTTTTAATTCAATACTAATTATCATAATTTTAGTATTAGTTTTTTAAAAACAAATAATTTATTTAATAAATAATAATTAATTTATTTTAAATTAATTTATTGTTTGGATTATTATTAAATTTATTTATATTATATTTTTTAATTAAGTTATAATATAAAAATAAATTTCGTAATAATCCAAACAATTAATTAATTAAAAATTAATAAATAAATTAAGTTTTTTTCAATTCAATAATAATTATCATAATTTTAGTATTAGTTTTTCAAATAATTTATTTAATTTAAATTAATTTATTGTTTAGATTATTATTAAATTTATTTATATTATTTTTTTTAATTAAGTTATAATATATTAATAAATTTCTTAATAATCCAAACAATTAATTAATTAAAAATAAATAAATAAATTAAGTTTTTTTCAATTCAATACTAATTATCATAATTTTAGTATTAGTTTTTATAAAAAAAAATTTATTTAATAAATAACTTATTGGGAGCTCATACCTAAATTCAAGGTAACTGTCCGCCGACGGGCTTCGACATCAAACGCACCGTTTTCTACCCGATTATCGGCCAGTTGTGTACCATTCAGATTGATTACAAGTCTATGATAATCAAATAGCGGACAATCCCGGAGCTCAAACGCCTCGTCCTCTATCCTAGCAATACTATCGACACCACTTAGATCTAGTTCCTGGAGATACCGGAGCCCATGGAATGCTTTTTCACCAATCGATCTAATTGTATATCGACCGGCAAACCTAACTGTCCTTAACCGGGAATCTATTGTACGGGAAAATGCTTTATCAGGAATTTCGTGACTAGAATTCCACTCTAGATTGACAACCAATTCCCGTAATGACGGGATTTCCGCGAATGCCCGATAAATATCATAATCACTGTCCGGTCGATTACGCAATCGGATGGGTGTATCGCCAGGAAATCGGAGACTAGTAGTACCCGATTGGGTCAGACCTACGCTGAATGCTTTCCGGTGTATTTGACGTAAGTTTTCGGATCTAATTTCAATGTCTATTAGCCGAAAATTGTTTATAGTATTGGCCGGTAGTTGACCACCTTTGACCAGTGCCCGCCATCGGAATTGATCGAAATGTCGGGCCCATGGCCACAGTTTTTTGGATAACTCGAGGAACTCCTGTTTAATATCCAGTTCCCGATGATGGCTGTCCTCATCATCACTACTATTACCTATTGTACTACAGTTTAGCCATTTGTATGTACGGTATTGGCATTGACTGACAAATTTATTATCATTATGTGGCCAACAATTGCTATAATTTATTATTAATAATAATAAACTAATTGTTGATAAAAATTTTAAACAAATTTGAATCATATTTTTTTCGACTAATAGACAAACAATAAATATATAATTTTAATATTAAAAAATAAATAAATTATTAACTTATAAATTAATTATTATTATTATTACTAAATATTTTTAATTTACTATATATTAATATATAATAAAACTAGATTTTTTTTGTTGAGGGTATTTATAGCCAACAAATAAATAATAATATTGAACTTTGTAGCTAGTACATTTTTTGTTTGAAATATTAGACAATATATGTGCAATTAATCATCAAATAAATAATGAAAAATAAAACTTTTCCTTAACTAAAGTTAGTATATACTGTATATATAAAAAAATTATTATTATTTTTAGTACAAAATTTTTTGAATATATATATATATGATATTACATACCATATATGATTCATTATAAATATATTTTTTTTAAGTATAATTGTTTATTTTATTATACAGTATATACAGTATGTCTAAAGCAAATAAAAAACTATTGTTTTATTATTATTAAAATGTTTGTTAAAATCCGGGTTATAAAACAAAAAATAAATAATAAAGCATTATAAACTTATATTATTTATATATCATTACTAAATATATATTACTATATATATATATATTACTATATAAATATATATTACTATATATATATATATATATTACTATATAAATATATATTACTATATATATATATTACTATATAAATATATATATATATATATATATATATATATATATATATATATATATATATATATATATTACTATATATATATTATATACAGTAATGATATATAAATAATATTAGTTTATAATGCTTATTATTTTTTGTATATATATATCTATATGTAAATAATAGACAATTTCAATTAATAATATATAGATTTATTTTATTTTGATAATTAATATTATTAGTATAAATAATTATTATATATTATTTAGATTTTATTATAGATTTTATTTCAATTTTTTTTTGTATTTATATTTTAATGTAATTTTTTAAATCAATTATTATTTTTAAAGTTACATAAATCCTATGCAATGTTTAACTTTGAAGTAGTCATAAAAAACAATTACATAAATAATAATTAATAATTTTTTATGACACCTATGTTTGACTTTTTTTTAGTTCAATTTTATTCATATGATATATTAATAGAGATGGGCAAATAGAAAGTTTCTAATAAATTTCCTTGAGAAAGTTTCTAGAAAATTTCTCAAGAATAAATTTCTATAGAAATTTAACTTTATTGTTATACTATGGGATCCCCATATCTATAGCTATTGTAATAATATATAAATAATGAGACACTACTATTCATGTAACATTATACTATACACTACTATACAAAATGCGTTACCTATATGTAAAATAATTATAATTATTCAATAATAATCAGTTTTCTAAAATTTTAATAATCGTTTTATCATATATATAAGAATTTAAAATAATTAAATAAATTAATTGTTACTTTAATTAATAATTAAAATATTAATAATAATATTTAGTTATTACTTGTAAAACCAATGTATTGTTACATAATAACATATATTGAGAAAAACAAAATTAACCATGGGGATCCCATAGATAGAAATTTCTTTTAGAAACTTTCTAGAAATTTCTCTATTATTTTATAAATTTCCCTTTTTTGCCAACACTATATATTAATCGCCTAAACAAGTATATAATGATTTAATAACAATATAATTTAGTTTTATATAAATATATAAAATATATAAAGATATATCAAATAAAAATAGTATCATTTCATTACATGTATTGTAATTGTATTTTAGATAACAGATAATAAACAAAAATAAATCGGTTTTATTTATATATAAATAATAATAATAAATATTAGATTATAATTATTATTATCAATAGTAATAATTTTAATATTACATAAAATTGATGAAACATTTTATTTTTTTTAAATGTGATTAATATCATAAATATTTCTAAATATATAATTATTGTTATATAAACAGCATTTAAACTAAAAAATTATGTTTTATTTTTTTGTTAATAAATATACTACTAATAAATAACTTTTATATTATTATTATCTTTAAATTAAAAACTTAAAAACAAAAATTATTTTTTTTAAAAAACATATTTTACTAATAAATTATATAATGAATAAAACAAAATAATTTTCTACACAATAATATTTAATTAATCCTTATATTAATACAATATATATAAAATTTATATAAAATTTATATATATATAATTAATTAATTAATTTTTTCAAAAAAAAAAATTATTAAATAATATGTTTCATTGATTATTGTTAATTCTAACTATTTATTTTTTCCAAGTTTTTAAAATACATATTTTAAAAAAAAAATTAAATTGTACAGTTTTTAAAATAAATTATTTAATTTTTTTTCAATAAGTTTTCATTGCTTAAATTAAAGTTTATTATATTTATAATTTATATAATTTTTAAAAGTATGCTTAAATTATTATATTTTGATTAGTAATAAACAAACAAATAATATTTCAAAAAATATAATTATATTATTTAAATATAAATGTTTATATTATTAAGTAATAACTATAATAATAATAATATATCCTTTTTTATAAATACATGAATAACTGATTAAATTTGTATTTTTATATTATGTATTTTATTATCATTACATATAATTATAATTTATTTTTTATTAAAACAAAAATATATTTTTTATATTATCAATTAATATGAAATATAATTTATGTTTAAAATACAATTATAATCAGTAATACTATATAATAAATCCTAAACATTTTTTAAAAAAAATTATGTATTAATAATATGTAAAAAAAATAATTATAGCTAAAAAAATAAATTTAATAATAAAAAAACACCCATTTTATTAAAAACTAAACAATAATGATAAATACATATTATATTTATAATTAATTAACAATATAAATTTTTTTTAATGATAAGATATCACTAATACAATTTTTGGGATACCATAGATATTATCTAATAATATACTGTATTTTTTTAATTGTATTTTAATATTATATACTATTATTACACTATTATTATTATTATTATAGCAACCATTTTAAATTTAGGTAGCAAAATATAATTTTTTAATTAATTAATTTTATAATTAAAATTAATTAATTAAAAAAAATTTCTAATTAATAGTATATATATATAGATAGTGTGTGTATGTGTGTGACATACATAATGGACGTCCAAAATCATATACACCATCATCAGCAGCAACAACAGGATCTGGATAGTCATGATAGGGACAGTCGTACGCTATGTAGACGATGGACAGTGTTTACACTGGCCATTGTTGTTACGGCGGTAGTGGTCATCGTTATGAGCTTAACCGTAGTGGCCATCAATAACTTGAAAACCGATGCCGAAATTACCGATAGTGTTAAGGTATTTGGTTATATTATTTTTTTTATAATTATTTTATTGAATAATAATAATAATTTAAATAATTAGAAATAATAAATTGATTTTATTTTATAATTATAAAAAATATAATCTAATTTTTTTACTTAACTTTTTTTTTAAAAAAAATATTGTTTTATTATTTGTTTGTATGTAAACATGTTTACTAATATATTTTTTTTAATTAAATAATTATAATTTTTTTTTAATTATTTAATTATTAAAACACTAATTATAGTGTTTTTATAAGTTTACAATATATTTTGTTTTTGTTGTGTATATTTATTTGTGTTTAATATATTTACTGTATTTTATTTAAAACTAAATTAATTGTTTTTTTTTAAATATTTAAACTAATATATATTTTTATATTTTATCTGTTATATTGTATTATTATTTACAATATATTAGAGTTATTTATTGTGTTTAACAATATTTTAATGTATTTTATTAATTAATTAAATTTATATTTAAAAAAATAATTGTATTTTTAAAAAAATTATGTATTTATAAAACACTAATAATATATTATTTACTAATTATTTTATTTATTTTTAAAAAAAATTAAATTTTTAATAGCAATCAGCAAAAACATTGATAATAACTGAATGTGTTATCGCAATACTCGTCCAATTGTTAGGTCTAACGGGTAGTTATCGCCAACACTACGGTTTTACCCTAACCTACGGCCTGATAATGACCATGATTTCGGGTCTGGCATTGGTATCGGCCATCCGATACGGTTTGTCTGGTGATTGGATACTAACCGTACTGTTTATCGTAACGGCAGTCATAGCCATGACCTATGCCCGCGATTTACGATTGAGACGATTGCTGGCACTGAATAGTCGGACTACTATTGTCTACAGTAGTGGTGACGGCACCGGTAGTGGTGGCGGTAATGGTATTAGCAATGCTAATGTTGTTTATCAGGGACAACCAGTCTATTTATATCCCGGTGCCAGTGGTGGTGGTCACCAGTCTATCAATGTTAATACCCTACCCTCACATACCAATGTTAAATGGTCGACCCCAGGAGGCCAGGTAGCCTATTCACCTAACCTGCCCAACTATTATGCACCGGCACCGCCACCCTATATCCAATCTAACGGTGCTGAAAAATAAATGTCCTAGTTACTATTGAGTAATTGATTATTTGCTAAAAAATTATTATTATTATTATTGATTATTTGAAATTAAATATATATTAATATAAAAGTATAGATATTTTGCATCAAAAAAAATATAAATTATTAAAAATTATTTTATTTTTGAGTGTAATTTTTATTTGTTAAATTTAATTAATTATTTTTTTTAAATTAAATAAAATTCAATTAATTAAAAAATTATTTTATTTGAAAAATATTATTACTATTATATTTATTTTTCTAAATTACATTATTGAATTAAATTTTTGTTGTTAAAAAATTTATTAGTAATATTTTACAACAACATCAAACTAAAAAATTAATTTAATATTTATACATAACTTATTTTTTTTTATTTATTATTTATAAAATTATAAACATATACAAAAATAAAATTTAGCTATATTTGGTATATATTATAATAGTTAATTATGTAAATTACTAAATTAAAGCATCAAGGTTATCAAATATTTTTTTTATAGGAAATAAAATATTTCAAAAAAATAAAACACAGGATATATATCTAAAAATAAATATTTTTTTTTTTGATTAGACATTAAATAATAATAATAATTATTATTATTATTTTACTATATATTGATTACATATATATATATATATATTAAATAACATATACATTATTATATAGGGTATAGAAATATATATATTAATATAAAAATATTAATCAAATAACACTTACATACAGTATATATAGTGTATTAATACTCTGAAACAATCAATAAAACAGTCAATTAATAGTCAAAATTTACACTTAAATAATAATTCAAAATTTTTTTAATAAATTTATTTTAATAATTCAAAAATAAAAAATAAACTAAATTTAATAATTTTATTTATTTTAATTATTATGTGTTTGTATATTGATTTTACTAGTAGACGATCAATACTAATAACTATAACCTTATCCATAATTGTTACCATATTTGTTATACTAGCTAAACAAGGTGCTAAACAAACTAGGATGGCCATTAGCAAAAAAAATTATTACCAACCACCAACACAACCACTACCATCACAGTTACTACCCATCCTATTGTCTAACAGGTCATCATCATCATCATCATCATCAACCTATGGTTTAATGTATAGATATAAGCACCGGTATCCTAAACTAAGAAAAACAACAACACTAGTAGTAAATTATACAACCAATCGGCAGCGGCTACCAGTCCTACCAATCGATGGACAGTCGACTACTGTTGTTAATACCATACCAACAACAACACCAACAAACAACACAACTTGAGGTCTCTAAAAATCATTGATTAATTAATAATTAAAAAATAATTATCAATTAATTAATTATTTATATATTTATAAAATAATTTTGAATTTAATATTATATTAGTTTTTTAAAAAGTTTTTTGTTTAATAATTATTTTTATTTTTTTAACTTAATATGAAATCAAATGATATGTTATTTTTGTTTTGTTTTTTTTTTTATTTAAAAACTGTCAAAAAAAATTAATATTTTACATATATATTACATATAATTACATATATTATTTATAAATGTTTTTTTTAAACAAAAATAATTTAAATAAAAATAATATTTATAATGTTTTAACATTAAAAAATTATATATTAATAAATTTTATATTTAATTTTTTCTACTAAGTTATTGTAAAACTAATAGATGATATATTTTGTAATTTTTTTTATTCAAATAACTATATATATAATTATTATATAACAATAATAATAATAATAATAATCAAATAAAACTTTATTAACTACATTATTATCTATAATTATTGTTTATAACTTTTTTTTTAAAAAAATACTTAAATATTATTTAAATTGTTTATAAATTATTATATAAATATTTTATTTAACTCATATTATTTATAGATTTTAAATAAAATATATTTAAAATAAAGTAAACTATGATACATATATAGGTTATATATAGATTGTTTTATACTTAACTTTATATAACATAAGTTTACAACAGTTTACGCATATGTCAAATACCATATATATATATATATATACAGTAAAATAAATATACAGTAAAACACCAGTAACAATCAATATGTGAAAAACTAAAAAAAAATTCAAAATATAACAAAAATCATTTACATTTAGAAATATATATACATATATATAACTGTATATATATATATATATATATATATATATATAAAGTTAACTAAATTGTTATTTTAAAAATAATCTATATATTAAATATAATAATAATTTTTGTTAAAAATAATTATTATTATTTTAAAAAAAACTAATAATTAAAAAATTTAAATAATTATCTATATATACTGTATATAATGTGTTTGTATATTGATTTTACTAATAGACGTTCAATAATAATAACGTTGACAGTATCTATAATTGTTACAATTATATTTATTACAATTAAAAAAGCTATCAATGATAGCAATAGTAAACGTGGACAAACTATGGTTACCAACTACATAAAAAACAACCGCAATTTCCGACCACCTATAGGATCGCCAGCACCACCGACACCACCGATACAACCCTGGATATTGTTTAACAGGTCATCATCATCATCATCATCATCAGTAACTACAGGTGCAATGTATAGATATAGTAAGCATCCTAAACCAACCAATCATTGGTACCGGCACCGGCAGCTATCAACAGTGCTACCAATCGATGGACAGTCGACTAGAAGTGTTAAAACCATACCAACACCAACTAAAACAAGCAAAACAATTAGATAGGTCTCTAAAAAATGATTTTTTTTTTTATTTTTTAAAAATTAATTATTTATTTATTTAAATGTAATTATAACTAACCTAACCTAACCTAACCAATTTATATATTAAAATAAAATAATATTATATTTTAATATTAATTATTTATTTTTTGTATTAATGTGTGTGTTTTTTGTGTATATATATAATTTAAACTTTAATTTTTTAAAACTATTTAATATATATTATAATAATAAATACATGTAATTAGTTGTTTATTTATATTTAAAAAAAAATTGTAAAATAAATACATATAACTTATAATTAGGAGTTAGATATTAATCATTATATAAATAACATTAAAGTTATTTTTTTTAACATTATTTACAGTATATACTGTATACTAAAGTTTTATATTTGATTTTTCTACTAATGTTAAACTAATAGTAGGAAAAAATATTTATTTATTATTTTTGAAAAAAAATTGTATATATATATATATATATATATATATTTAATATACTGTAATATCAATAGCTGTATTGTTTAATAATTATTTTATTTTAATTATAAAATAAAGTGTTATTATTGCTTATATATATTTAGAAATATTATAAATATATAAATTTTAATTTTTTAAATAAAAATATTTTATTAAATATTTATTATTATGTAAACTTTTACAAAATAAAATATAAAATTTACATATATAACAAACAGGATATATTTTTAGTTAATATTTAAAATAAGTAATAATAATAATAATAATAATAAGTATTAGTACTCAATAGATTGCTAATTAATTATTAAATAACACTTATTGTGTATTATATTAGTAAAATTATTATAAATATTTATTTGATTTAAAAATAAATAATTTTAATTATAAATAATACTAATAATTTTATTTAAAATATTTTTTTAATACAGTGTAATATTATTTTTAAAAAAATGTTTTTATTTTTAGTTTTTCAAATAAAATAGTTAACAACATTTTTTTTGCATTAATAAATATATATATATTTTTTTGATATTAAGTTTTAAACACTAAATTTAATTGAAAATATATTTAAAGACAAAATATAAATAGATTTTTAATGATTTTTTTTGGTATTTTTTTACACACAATTTATTTACAAATAAATAATATTTTTTTAAATACTGTATTAATTTTTTTAGCTTAATATTTTAACAAATTTTTTAATAATAATAATAATATAACATTTATACCGTATTTATATATTTTGTTTTTTTATTTAGTTACTTACAATTTACTAAAAGTATAATATAAGATATATCTTATGATAAATCTGTATAATTTTGATAATTTCAACAAGGTCATATTTTTATATAAAATAATTTATATGCATGAAAAATACATTATATAATTTTTAAATAATGATTAATAATATATATACGTAATATATTACGTATATATTATTAGTATTTTTTTTAAGCAATATATATAATTTATATACTTTACATATTATATATTGATATACAGTATATATAATATAAGTAATAATTTTTGTTAAAAAAATAATACTTTAAAAAATTAACAATTTTTAAACAATTTAAAGAAAATTAAATTTATTTAATTAGTTAAATTTTTTAATTATTATTTTTTAAAAAAAAACTAAAAAATATTACCATGTGCATTTATATTGATTATAGTAGTCGAAAATCAATAATAATTTCCATAACAATATCAATAATAGTTACCGTAATAATTATTTTAGTTAAACAGGAAACTGGTGCTAATAAAAATAATAATAATTATTATAATAGTTATAATAATAATAATCGTAACCAACAAATTAGGATTGCCACCAACAAAAAAATACAATTGAATTATCATGGACCACCATGGATACCCCCAGCATCGCCACCACCACCAGCACTACTAAAATTGTTTAATATGTCATCATCAACTTGATGGTGATGGATCAATTAAGTGTAAGCATCCTAAACAAACCTACCAGTGCTACCCAATCGATGAGGACAGTCGACTGTTACACAACAATCAATTAATTAATTAATATTATGATGTTTACCTAAAAAAAATTTTTTTTTATTACATTATTGTTGTTAAAGTTTATAAAGTTTTTTGTCTTGTTTTTTTTAATTAATATGAATACAAATAATATTTTTTGTTTTATTCAACAACAAAAATAATTGTCAAAAAAATAAGTATTTTAACAGTTTTTTTATTTTATTTAAATAATTTAAATATAAATAACATTATAAATATTATATATATATATATATAATTTATCTACTTTAATATAAAACTATTAATAAATAGATATATAATTTTTAAAATAAAATTTGTTTTTTTAAATAACTATTAATATTGTGTGTAAAAATTTATATATCAATAGCTAAATAACTATTTTATTATATTTAATATTTTAAAAAAAAATTATATAGACTTATATAGCTAACTAAAATTTGTATTAAATATTTTATTATTATTATTATTATGTAATTTTTTTTGTTACAAACATCCTATTAAGGAATTAATGATTTCTATATAAAACAGGATATAATTTATTTGACATTTTATTATTATATAAAAAATATATTTATATAATAAGTATAATATTATAATAATCAATATATTAAAATTATTATTAAATAAATAACTCTTTAATTGTGTATAACATTTAATAATCTAAAAATTGAAAAACTATTGTATTATAACTAAAAATAAATTTTTATAAAATATCATTCAAAAAAAAAAGTTTAATTTTTTTTTAATTATTATTAATTATTATTATCTAAATCATCATGGTTAATTTGAATGAATTTTTTAGAAATTTTTGTAATAAATTTCTAGAAAAAATGATAACTAGGATAGCAATTGCTATCATTGTTACCGTAATTGTTATTATAGTTTATAAACCTATTAAACAACAACAACAAACTAGGGTTGCCATTGACACTACTACTACTACTACTACAGTCAATCCTAACTATAATAATAATAATAATTTCTACTATCGACTATTGCCAATTGATATCAAATTGTTTAACAGTGGACCACCATCATCATTATCAACTACACCTATACCAATGAAATACCCGGCCTATCCTAGGCTACCAGTGCTCGATAAGGCCAACAAGTCGACTACCCACCCCCCCCCACATAACAACTAAATAATAAAAAGTATTATTAATTAATTAATTGATGAAAAATTATAATTGTAATAATGGCAATAATTGATATTGTTAATTAATTTTTGTTAATTTTTTATTTTTAAAAAAATATATATAAAATTATCTAGTTAATTTTTTTTTGTAAAAATTTATAATAAAAATAAACTGTTAATTGAATATTATTAATACTAATTGTATAATTGTATGAAAATATGTATTAATTAATTAATTAATTATTATTATTATTATTTAAAAAAAAATAATTATTAGTATTTATTTATTAATTTTTAAAAATATGTTAATTTAATTGTATTTATTAAAAAAAAATAATAATAAATTAAATTAAAACAAACAAAAAATATTGCATAATATAATTTTAATTAAAAAAAAAATCATAAAATTTTTTTAAAAATTAATTAATATAATTAATTAATTATTTTTTTATGTATAGAAAAAAACATGTCTCTAACATAAATAAAAAATAAATTATATATAATTTATAACAACATTTCAACTAAAATTATTAACAAACAAAAAACAAATATGAAATTAATATTATTTTTACTAATAATAATAATCGGCATAACATTAATAACTACTACCGGTGCTCTGGCCAAACACATAGCGGCGGCACCGGTAGCTAAAAATCATAATAATAATAATAATAGTTATTATCATCACTTTATTGATGCCGATGGCCAACACCAGCAACAATCAATTGGTCACAGTTTGGCCATACCGTTGACATGTATGGCCTGTAAGGCTGGTGTAGCCGTTATCAGTAATACATGGGTACCCATGAGGTTTATCAGGGAACTGGCTATAATGGTTTGTCAACTATTTCAGCCGCTGGATGTTTGTTCAGCGTTTGCCGATTTATTTCAGGTAACTGTGCTCTCTCTGTCTCTCAGTCTCTCTCTCTCTTTCAGTCTCTCTCTCTCTCTCTTTCAGTCTCTCTCTCTCTCTCTTTCAGTCTCTCTCTCTCTCTCTCTTTCTCTCTCTCTCTCTCTCTTCAGTCTCTCTCTCTCTCTCTTTCAGTCTCTCTCTCTCTCTCTTTCAGTCTCTCTCTCTCTCTTTCAGTCTTTCTCTCTCTCTCTTTCAGTCTCTCTCTCTCTCTCTTTCAGTCTCTCTCTCTCTCTCTTTCAGTCTCTCTCTCTCTCTCTTTCAGTCTCTCTCTCTCTCTCTTTCAGTCTCTCTCTCTCTCTCTTTCAGTCTCTCTCTCTCTCTCTTTCAGTCTCTCTCTCTCTCTCTTTCTCTCTCTCTCTCTCTTTCAGTCTCTCTCTCTCTCTCTMTCTCTCTCTCTCTCTCTCTCTCTCTCTCTCTCTCTCTCTCTCTCTCTCTCTCTCTCTCTCTTCTCTCTCTCTCTCTCTCTCTTTCAGTCTCTCTCTCTCTCTCTCTCTCTCTCTCTCTCTCTTTCAGTCTCTCTCTCTCTCTCTCTCTCTCTCTCTCTCTCTCTCTCTCTCTCTCTCTCTCTCTMTCTCTCTGTTTGTTTGCCTATCTATCTATCCCACTGGCACTGGTAGKTAACACACACACACACACACACACACAGATACCTAAACCCCATTAGTTTTTTTTTAAAATTCATTTATAGGAACCGTCAGAATATATCAGATATAATACCGATTTAAATAGCGATGAAATGTGTGCCGTATTTCTAGGAGACTATTGCCTATCGGCTACCGATCCATCAAAATCACCGAATGTCTACTGGAGGCTAACAATACCACCACCTAAACCACCAGTGAATATCAGTAGATCTACCGGTGCTACTACTACTACTACCAGCACTACTACGACTACTACCGGTGCTGATGATAATGATAATGATGACGATAGCGATACTATTAATACTAATACTAGAATAAACAAAATATTACACATAACTGACATACATTTGGATCGGGAGTATAGGCCGCTGACCACTGCCGACTGTGGCCGACCGTATTGTTGTCGTACATTGAATCAGTCGCTGGTCGACCAGCCCGATCGCCTGGACTCGGAACTATGGGGTAGCTATCGGTGCGATCCACCCGTCCGTTTAGTCCAAAATCTATTTGACACAATTGACTGGCCATCGATGGACTGGATCTACTGGACGGGTGACGTCACACCACATAATACATGGCAGGACACACGTGAGGGATCGGTTGAAACTTCCCGGCTGTTGACCGATATGTTTGCCAAATATACGGTCGGCTCTCAGGCACAGGTAGTTCCAGTTATTGGCAATCATATATCGATACCAGTGGGCTTGTATGTACATACATATATATATGTTAATTATTATTATTTATGGTATACCCACCCCCACCCACTAATACCTTAACTCATAACACTCACCCACTAATACATTAACTCATAACACTCACCCACTAATACATTAACTCATACACTCACCCACTAATACATTAACTCATACACTCACCCACTAATACATTAACTCATACACTCACCCACTAATACATTAACTCATACACTCACCCACCCACCCATATATATATATAAACTACTTTTTTTTAGGTTAACCTAACTAAAGCACCTGTACTTTAAAAAAAACAGTCATATTTTTTTAAAATGTTCAATACTTAACTGATAATAATATTTTTAATTATTATTATTATTATTATAACTACTAATGTGTTAAAAAAATTATTATTATTATGTTTTTCAAGTTTATGTTTTATATACTACAGTATTAGATAAACTTTTTTTTAAAAAAAGTCAATAAGTTTTAATTTATTTGATAATTATTATTATTTAGTTTTTATTTACTTATTATTAATTATTATTACTTATTAATAATGTTAACATTAGTTTACCATTAGTATTTATTTTTTTGCCAATATAAATAAGTAGCTTTAATAATAAATTATTTTATAATAATTTTAAAAATAAACAAAATATAAATTAAAAGTTTACAAAAGTTTACAAAAGTTTACAAAAGTTTATAAAAGTTTATAAAAGTTTATAAAAGTTTAGTATTGTTTGTTTGATTTTTTAAAATTAATATTTTGTTAGTTATTATATTATTATATTAATTAAAAGTAATAATTGAAAAGTAAAAAATTATTATTTTATATTTATATATATATTAATATAATATTGATTATATATTACTAAATTTATTTATCTATTTGAGTTTATTTTGTTATTAAAAATTTTATAATAATTAATAAGTTACAGTTTTTAATATATATATAAATATAATAATAATTATTAATAATATTATTTATATTTTAGTCAAACATAATATTTAAACTATAATACTGTTGTAGTAATTATTAGGTTTTTACTTTAAAATAAAATAATAATAATTTTATCAATGTCAATTTTTTTTTCAAACACACACACACACACATAGTTTTGCACCTGATAATATTGAGGACAGTCGACTATCATCCAGGGATCTGTACAATGAATTAGCCCAACAATGGCAACAATGGTTACCCAATAGTGCATTGAAAACATTGAAAATGTAATTTATTATTAGCTAATTAATAACTTTTCAAATAATAATATTAATTAATTAATTTATTTTATGTTTATTATCTGTCTCTATTACATTACACATACACACACACATATACACACACACACATACATATATACACATACACATACACATACACATACACATACACATACACATACACATACACATACACATACACATACACATACACATACACACACATACACACACATACACACACATACATACACACACACATACATACACATACACACACATACACACACATACACACACATACACACACATACACACACATACATACACACACATACACACACATACACACACACACACATACACACACATACACACACATACATACACATACACATAGTGGCGGCTACTATGCACTGGCAATTAGACCCGGCCTTCGGATACTGGTATTGAACACTAACTATTGTTCCCGATTGAATCTATGGGTATACTATCGATCGGTCGATACGGGCGACCAACTCAAGTGGCTAATCAAGGAACTGGATCGAGCCGAGCGGGTCGGCGATCGGGTACATCTAGTCGGTCATATACCGCCAGATAATGCCCAGTGTACCCAGTCGTGGCTATACAATTTTATGGCCATAGTGGAACGGTATACGGAAACGATAACCGGCCAATTTTACGGACATACACACTACGATGAATTTCGTGTATACTATGCCAACGGTAACAGTAGTCGGCCAACTGGTGCCGCTTTTATCGGGCCAAGTGTTTCGCCGTATGTACACTCCAAGCACCTGATGATCAATCCGGCCTATCGTGTCATCAAATGTATGGATAACGGTATGTATAGATAGATAGATATATATGAGAAATGTAGAGATAGAGAGTTAGAGAGAGAGTTTAGAGAGAGAGAGAGAGAGAGAGAGAGAGAGAGAGAGAGAGAGAGATAGAGATAGAGTTTAGAGAGAGAGAGAGAGAGAGTGAGAGAGAGAGAGAGAGAGAGAGAGAGAGAGAGAGAGAGAGTGAGAGAGAGAGTAGAGAGAGAGAGTTAGAGAGAGAGAGTTAGAGAGAGAGAGAGTTAGAGAGAGAGAGTTAGTGAGAGAGAGAGTTAGTGAGAGAGAGTTAGAGAGAGAGTTAGTGAGAGAGAGTTAGTGAGAGAGAGAGTTAGTGAGAGAGAGAGAGAGAGAGAGAGAGAGTTAGAGAGAGAGAGAGAGAGAGAGAGAGAGAGAGAGAGAGAGAGAGAGAGAGAGAGAGAGAGAGAGAGTTAGAGAGAGTTAGAGAGAGAGAGAGAGTTAGTGAGAGAGTTAGATATAGAGAGAGAGTTAGATATATATATATATATATATATAGAGAGAGAGAGAGAGAGAGAGAGAGAGAAAGAGAGAGAGTTAGAGATATAGAGAGTATAGAAAAGGGATACGAAATAACTGTGCGCTTCTATACCTACTAAATAACCTTTAAAATAATATGACCTACCTGTTTTTATTAATTATATAATTTAATAGGTACAATCACCGATATGGACACCTATAACATGAATTTGATTGAAGCCAATCGCAATGCCGACGACACAACAACACCCGACTGGCCGTTCAGATATTCAATGGCCAGCGAATACAAACTCCGGGGGTTTACCGGTCAGGATATGGACGGTTTAATACGGAAAATGAAACGTAACTATCGGTCAAACAACCAGACAGATAAGGACAATCCGTATGTCAAACGTTTCTATGGGCACTATACACGTGCAGCACGTGCTGACAACACCAACACGTGTGACCAAACGTGTAGACAACAATTGTTGGCCGATATGGTTACCGATAATGCATTTCAATCAATGCCCGACTTTATTGCCGATATTGTTTGAAAAGTTTTTTTTTGTTGATTACTATTATTATTATTAAATAAATTTTTATCATTATTTAGTTATTTGAAATAAATATTTTTTTTAATAAAAAAAAATAGTTTATAAATGTTTATCAATTATTATTAGTTATAATAATAAATATTTTTAAAAATATGATTATATGAAAAATCTAKGGTTTTATTAAAAAAAATAGTAATAATTACTATTATTAACTATAAATTAATTAATTTTTTAGATATAATTATTATTACGATATATAGAAAATAATGATTATATGAAATGCTATGTTTATTATTATTGTATTTATACTATTAAATAAATTTTTAATTATTTAGTTATTGAAATAAATCTATTTAAATAAAAAAATTAGTTTATAAATGMTTATTAATTATCAATTTATTATTATTTATTTATTATTTTATTTATTTATTAGTTATAATAAATATTTTTTAAAAATATGATTATATGAAAAATCTGGTTTTATTAAAAATAGTAATAATTATTATTATTAACTATAAATTAATTAATTATTGACATTATTATTATTACACTAATATTTTTTTTAATAAAAAAAAGGTTATATGAAATGCTATGAAATTATTATTATTATTAAAAAATTTCATTATTTAGTTATTGAAATAAATATTAAAAAACAATTTAGTTTATAAATGCTTACAATTATTTATTTATTTATTTATTATAATTAGTTACAACTAAATAATATATTTAAAAAATAAATCATTATATGAAAAATCTATGGATTTAATATAATAAAACAAAAATATTACTATTACTGTATAATTATTAATTAATTACAAACATAATTATTTAAGATTAAAATATTATTATTTTATTAAAAAAATTATATGAAATCCTATGTTATTACTATTATATACTAAATGTTTGTATGTATTATATAAAAACTGCTTAAATCTATTACTATTTTTTTCTAAAAAAAAAACTAATATATATTTCTAGCTAAAAAAATCATAAAAAATTATAATTATTTTTATAATTAATATAAAAAAATAATTATTAATAATGAAATCAATTACTTACTAATTATTATTATTAAAAAAAAACAAAAATAAAAATCATTTCTAAAAAAAATTAATGATTAAATAAAAATTGAATGACTTATTGAATGACTATTTAAGATAATCCAGTGATATATATATATGTAGGAAATGGTATGACACGGGTTAGGKAGGGGACAGTTAGCCGAGTGGACAGTCAGGTGTCAGTGGTTGGGTCCTCAATTGTGACACATATTGGCAAACACTGACAGTCTGTATCGGGTGTATAGATCGTCAACCGCCGCCGATTGACAGCCGCCGATATCATCTACGGGTGACGATAGACGGCCACCACTTGTTGTCGATGACGACGACCCGGAAGAGGACGCGGACGACAACGAATTGGCCACCGATGAAGACAATTGCCGACTAGTAGTAGTAGTGGTGGCCGACGACGACGATAGGGTCAGACGGGACAGATCGGTCGCTATAGTAGTTGAAATACTGTCGGCTACGGCAACAGTGTTGGCCATCATATGGTAGTCATTGTTGCTATTGTTGATTGAAGTGGTCATACAATTAGCTGACGGCTGCTGTTGTTGATCAATACACGTAGCGTTGACCACATCGACGTTAACAGCTTTGGCAGCCATTTCGGTAACCGTAATCAAACCCTCCTGAGTGGCCACTACTTCATCCGGCGAGTGTATGTACGAACATCGGGGACCGAAACTACAGAAGCCGTCCGAATGAAACGCTTTGCACAGTTGTGTCTTGAATTTACGGTGACGGCCGCGAAACGGCCTCAGCTCGTGTACGCCGTGAGCAAACAGACACTGATGCCCATGAGGACAGTTGCCTTTTTCCTCCCAGTGTCGGCACATTTCAATCTTATACCGACTTTCCTGATAGTTTCGGTTGTGTAGTGGCGGCGGTGGTTGGGCTACAACTACCGATCCGTCGGCTATTGGGATGAATGGGAAAGTTAGTTAGTTATCGTAAGGGTATGGAAACCAAGTGTTTGTATTATAACATACCGGAGCTATTGGATGCTATACTACAGGATGAACCGGGCCGTTGACTTGTAGTCATCATCATAGGCAGCGGTGGTCTCATTGAATACATATTACCGGCGCTGAGGTTATTGTTGTGGCCATTATTATTGACGGCTGGCGGCGGCGCGGCCGCCGATTGCCGATAGGACTGGTGGTTGCGGTTGTTTGCCTTATTATATAAGGCCATAGAGTCGATACGCAAACCATGACCACCACTACTACTACTACTAGTACTACGACTACTGCCGCCACAACTGGCCATACCTTTTATGACCGCCGACGGGTATGTCTAATACAATACAAAAAAATTTTTTTTTTAATTACATTTAGAAAAATAAATTTGATTTTTTTTTTGATTTCATAGGCACCGGGAGATTATGCTTACCATTGAATTGTTGAATGTTGAAAACGGCATCATCTGATTGCTAGTATGATGACTATGAGGTGGTTGAACCCAAAATGTAGACATTGTTTTTAGTTTAGTTGATAGCACTGGGAGGTTATAATATCAACCCAACAAAAAAGGGGTTCACTTTAAGGTACTACAAGTATATTTAAAACTTAAATGATTTTAAATTTAGATATAATTTTTGGGGTCTCTATCTCTCATAGACTAACACCCAGTCATTCAATAAAAACAGTCAATTATAGGACAAACTAATAGTATATATAAAAGTATTTCACTAAAAGTTTGCAATCAATAGGCTTTTAATAATAATAATATTGAAAAATAATAAAACTTTGAATATTATATTTTTGGACACACATTTCACCTCACCTTTTATATTAGGGGGGAGGGGTATGAAAGCAAGCACTGGTATGTCATATATTTATATATATATATATACCCAAAACACGACTGTCCAGTCATTTGTTAGACTATTACTACTACTACTACTACTACTACTACTACTACTACTACTAGTGGTTAAGTATTTGTCTATTTATTTATTTATTTAGTTTTATTATTATTAGTATTGATATTGAAAAATAATTTCTCATTTTTAAATACCTTTATATAAAAATAACTAACAGTTTTATATATATATACAAAAAAAATTATTATTATTAATCCGTTAATCCTCTATAGAGAGAGCACTGGTAGCTAATCACATACACATACAGTATATATCTATTAAACTTTATACAGGTTTTTAAAATGTAAAATTAATTTTTGTGGTATTTTTATGATAAATAATATTAATATATTTCAAAACATTATTTGTTATCATAATTCACTGGAAATGTTTTCGTTTCAAATAATAATAATAATAATAATAATAATTGTTTGTATATTAGTATCAATAATAATAAAAATTATTATTAATTTTCAAACCCTTTTTTCCCCCTAAAAACTTAAATTCAAAAATACATTATTATTATTACTGCTATTTTATTTAAAAAAAATAAATAAAGTTTTTTTAAATTTTGTTATAATAACACTATATTCGACTTAAAAAAAATTTAGTATAATATTAGTAATAATATTAAAACATTAATTATTATATGATATTATTATTAATAATATAGTTTAGTAAACTTTTATTTGTTTGTTTGTTTGTTTATTATTTAGTATTATTTGATAAATAATTTTTAAATTTTTAATCTCAATAATAATAATAATAATAATTACGTTTATGTCACGTTTGAAATACATTTAATAATAAATTTATATTACAGTTATGTTTAAAACATTATTATTATTATTACTGTATTACTTACTATTGATAATAATTTTTAATATTGTTTAGTTTAAAATATTTTCTATTATATATATTTAAAACTAACTTTTTTTTATAACAAATAATTATTATTATTACTAACTATTTTGATTATCTATTAATTTGATAATATAGTGCAATATTTTAACAAATTTTTAGTAAATGTATTTTTTAATTAATATATTTTATTTTTAAATTAGAAAAATTATTTTCTAGTAGAAAATACTAATTAATTTTTTTGTTACAATAAATATTATAATTATATAACTATTATTATTATTAGTTATTAAATTATATTTTAATTAATTAAAATGCAATTAAAATATATTTTGTTAGATGATCTGTAATGTATTTAATTAAAACTAAATTATTACAAAATAAATAAAATATAATACACTGTATAAACATTTATATTATATTAATTATTATGAATAATATTAAAAACATATCAAATACATTAGGGTTATGTAATTAATATTTAAGTGCATGTTTACCTAGAGTTTTATTACACCCATAAAAAAATGATCATGCTACTTTATATATATATAATAAATTGGAAAATTACATGATTATTGCTTTTATGAGTTGTAATAACTTAATCAATAATTTTTTATTTTAATTACATTGTATTAGTTTATTACTATTATTATATTAGTATTAAATATAATATACAATTTATAATTATTAACATATAAAAATATTTCAATTTAATTTTTCTAAATTTATGTATTATAATATTTTTTAATATTTAATAAAAATTATTAACATTAAATAAACTAATATATAAAAATAAGGGGAAAAAATATATTTAAATATATATATTATATATATTTTTTATTATTATAAACAATTACATAAATCACCAAATAAAACATTATGTAATTAATATTTAAATAAATGTTTATATGGAGTTTTATTACAATAAAAACAAAAATGATCATGCAAATTTATATATATTTTATGATAAATTATAATATAGTTTGTTAGACAATTTTGTAAAAAAAATAACATGACTATTGATTATTTTTTTTATTTTAAATTTAATTATTTAATTTTATTACGTTAATCACTAACCTTGTATTAGTCTATTGATATTATATATAAGTAATTAATTATATATATATATATATATATTGTATTAATTATTTATACAAATTAATTACTTACCATGGTGCAACTGATTTTATAATTTAATAATTATTTTTTTTTGTGTTAGGGGTATATAATGAGCGCTAATTTTATCAATTTTTTTATATCAAATTATAGTTATTTAATAATTTAATAAAACTATTATTATTATTATTATCAAAATGCAGAAAAATCAGCTAGCTACATTGTTTCTATTGGTTGCCATTTTGTTTATCATACAAATTGGTCAAAGTATTCAAGGTAATCAATTAATATATAATTTAAATATTTTTTTTTGTTAAAAAATTATTGTTTTTTTTATTAAATTAATTTTAGGATATTAAAAATTTAATAATTTATATTTGACTTTATTTATCATATATTAATACAGTATATATATATATATATAATAGTATAGTTATTATTATTATTATTACTAATTTTATTAAAGATTAATTATCTAATATAATTTTTTATTTAATTTTAAATAATTATTTATTATTATTATTATTATTACATTTGATTAATATATGAAATAATCATTTGATATAATATATTAATTGTAAAATAATTTTTATTATAAAATTTTATTTTTTCACTATTTCTTTTGTAATTTTTTATTTTTTTAAATATTTAATATTATTATTATTACTATAATACATTTGATTAATACATGAAATAATTATTAGATTAGAATATATATATCTAATTGTATAATTAATTTTCTTATAAATTTTTTTTAAAAATTATTTTTTCAATTTTTCTTTTGTAATTTATTTTTTTTTATATATAATTTATATATATAATTTATATATATAATTTATATATATATATATATATATATATAGACTGTCTACTCAATAACGCCCCGTGTGTAGAGGACGGCAGTTTGGGTATATGTTGTACAGAATTTTGTCTCAGACAACCTAACGAAGCCCAGGGCTACTGTACCACACGTTAACAATACAGTACAACATCAATTAAAAGTACACCATGGTGCACCCCCACCCACTTGATATATATCTATACTAGTTTAGATAATTTAGATGATTTATTTATTTTTTTAATTATTATTATTATTAGTTAGTTAATTTTTTTAGATCACCATTGTACTTTGTTTGTTTGTTTGTTTGTTTAATTATATTAATATATAATTTTAATTATTATTAACAACAACAAACAAGATTAATTTATTGTGTAATCAAGATTATTATTATTTTTTTCTAAAAAACAATTTAAATTTAATAAAAAATTTTATTTTTAAAAATAATTTTTGTATTTTTATTAATTAATTTTATTAGTTTAAAAAATAATTATATATTTTTAAAATATTGATATTAATTTTTTTTATTAAATTTCTAAAACAATATACAAATTATAGTATATATTACTTTTTTAATTCAATAATTAAAAATGTTAATTAAGAAAACTAATAATATTGAAATACATTAATATATTAATATTATATATTTTTATTAAATAGTTATAATATAAAACATAAATATTAATAATAAAATACATTATAGTTATGTTATCATTATTTAAATTTTTTTTAAATAATTTTAGTTTGTATTAAGTTTTTTTTATTATTATTTTTTCAAAAATTATCATACTAAATTTATGATAATAAAAATTAATTTATGAAATTATTGTAATTTCTAGACAATTGCTAAAAAACAACATGACTATTGTAATTTTTTTTAATTATTAATTATTAATTTTATTAGTTAATAATTTAATCAATTGATTTTTTTATTGTATTAGTTTATTGATATTATTACTAATTTATTATAATTATTTTTTTTATATAAATGATTTATTATTATTATTATTAGTTTTTTTATTACTTACAATGTTATTGATTTTAGTATTTAATAATTTTTTTGTGTTTTTTTGTGGGTATATAAGTAATGATCATTTTATCAGTTTTTTTTAATCAAAATAAATATATCATTCAAATTATTGTTATTTAAATTATTAATTTTATTATTATTATTAATATGAAATTACAGAAAAATCAACTAGCTACATTGTATAAGGTGCCAATTTATTTATCATACAAATTGATAAAAGTGTTCAAGGTAATATATATATATATATATATATATATATATGATATAATATAAATTATTTATTTATTTATTTAATTGTTAATTATCTCCTACAGTACTAATAATTTTTTTGATTATCATTAATATATTAAAAAAATTATTTATTAGAAAATATAATTAAAAACTGTGAATACTGTTTATTAAAAATAAATTATATTTTTTATTATATGATAATAATTTTAATTAATTTTTTTTAAAAAAATTATGATTATTATTATTATTATTATAGATTGTCTACCCGATAGTGCCACATGTCTAGAGGACAGTATAGTAGGCAAACCTACCGAAGCCCTGGACATATTGAACCTAATTGTATTTAATTGTATTATTATTAAATAATATTATATTATATAATACAACAACAAAAAATAGACCATGGTGCACCCACCCACCCCCCTTTAGACAATGCAAACTAATTATCATTATAAGTTAGCTAGTTAATTTATTAGTATTTTTTAATTTAGTTAATTTTGTTAACTACTATAGTATTATTATTTTTTTATATAAATAGTATAAATATGTTAGAAATACTACTGTATTATGTGTTGTTTTGTATTTTAATAATTTATTTATTTTTGTTAAATAGTAAAAATATATTTATAAAATATATTCAATTATTATATGGAAAAACAAAAATATTTGTTTAATCAATATTTATTTAAAAAACAATTTAAATAATTATTTAATAAAAAATATTGTTTTCGTCAATTAATTTTAAATTAGTTATAAAAATAATAAATTACATTAATATAAAGATATATGATTTAATAATAAACTTAATAAAAATTTTAGTATATTTTACAC